CCAAGCCACTCGAACTTTGCAAGGGTGAAGTCAAGAAAATCTAATTACTTACCTTTAATGATTAGAAAAACAACATCTGAATGTGCAGAAATAAGGCCAATGAATGTAAAACAGACCAGATGCTTACATATTATTGCGTAGATTGTCATTTATTAACATTAATGATTGGGTTATGTCGCAAAAAGAAGTCAATCGGAATTAACCTACTGTGATTACAAATGGCGTATGCAAATGAGCGAACCCATAAAACTGAACACCTTTGTTTATCTGTAGATCTAATGTTGTATTAAATCTAATGAAATTTAAGATGTTGCACCAGCAAAACTTTATAATGTTGTGCTCATTGTGGGCACGGCTGTGTTAGTACCATAGCCAATGACGCATTTATTGAGGCGTCAATACAACAAACTATGGGCAATAGGGTGAGGGTTTGGGGTAATGGGATGATGGTTTGGACAGGGTGTAGGGATCGGGGAAAGGGGAGTAGGATAAGGGGATGGTGATGGGATAGGGAGATGGGGGGAGTGGGAGTGAAGAAGGGTTAAGATGGATAAGTGGTGATGAGATGGAGACTGGTACTGGCTATACATATGGGATAAAACACATGAGTTCAGTGAAGGGGCCAAAGCCTTGCTGTGCCCATTTATGCAGCATACAATTTTAAAGCTAAATAAATTCTGCATCATCTGCATCTGGCTCTGACACATTAAAAAAGTCATGCACATGTACATTAACCTCTTCACTGCTGAGTAGAAGCATGTTCTGGCTTGTATTCTCCACTTATATTGTTTCATCTGGTTGACAAAACAAGTTTTAGTTGGTGTAGTTACAACTTGTGATTTTGCTTATTCTGAAACAATTTTCTGTGTTTAAATATTCCTTGAATTAACATTTGATCTTGTCGATACAGATGTTAATGGAAATTTTTCAGCAGTGAAGAGGTTAAGAGTCGCCCGAAATACAGTCGCTCAAAGCACACAGAGGAGACGTGAGCCCGACGACGCTGTAGCAGTGAGGGGGTTTAAAATCTTGATTTGCTTCCCGCTACGAAATAACTCAAGACACAAACAACACGCTCACTCGCGCGCGTCGTACACACACGCGCGCACACACACACACACACACACACACACACACATACACACACACACACACACACACACACACACACACACACACACACACACCTACAAAC